ATCATACGTTACTAAAGGCAGAATATAGAATATGTATAAAGGATTGGCAATGCCTGCTTCAAAAATTATGTTAATGCTTGCTTGTACTGTTGTGTAGGTATCCGTAGATCACAGCCGATAGATGAAAACTTTTACTCAGAGGGGAAAACCTCACTGGAGCAAAATGAACTTATAGTGTCACTGGACATTCCATTCAGCAGTAAGGTAAATGGTTTACTAAACTAAAATGTCTAGTTGCTCATAGTGATTAGTAGATAGAATGCTTATAGAATATTATATATTCTTACTAAATAAGAGTTGATTGTGGTGCAAAGTCTATTTTTAACAGATGTCTTGTCAACGTTTTAGAAGTTGAGGAATTATAGTGAGCAGGGGCGTAAATCCGTACCGAGGAGTGGGGGGGATGATCGGCGATAGCCGGGGGCGAAATTAACCTTGGCTGCGGCCACGCCAGTGCTAGGGGGGTCTGGGGGCTTGCCCCCCCAAAAAAATTTTGAAATATTTAAGCCATTTTCCTGCAATCTGAGGCACACTGTGGGCCATATTCTCATGTCTGATGACACTATCTCAACCCTAGACTCAACCCTACAAGTTATAGGATTCAAAACACTTTTCATGACTTTTCAGAGAGCGTACACAGTTAGGTTACTATATAGTAATAATACATGTATTAAAACACAGGTAAGAATTGCAATTTCTCACAATTTCACGTGTTTTTGTGTTTGCAACCATACTTTTTGGCTATTCTTTTTTTTCTCTTTTTTTTGAATCCCCCGGGATTTACGCCCCTGATAGTGAGAGCTTCCAAAACCAGACTTGTACAAATTCAAATCTGCTAATGAATGTTATTCTATATTTCCTATAATATAATTGATTTCAAGGTTGCAGGTTTTATAGTTCATATTATTTAGTTATATGTTAAAACTATATGTGTAATATATAGTGTTTACAGTTCATCCTATTTAAATATAGTTTAAAACTATCTGTGTTTATATATTATAGAGTTTTTATTTTTGACAACAGGGGCAATACATGCACACGTATAAACAGTCAAGACGTCAAGACTGTGACATTGCTGCTGTCACATGTGGCTTCAGAGTAGATTTTGATGAAGGAGTGATTGAAAAGATGATCTTGTGCTATGGAGGTGTTGCCCCATCAATGGTCAATGCCAAGAACACGTCAAGGAGTCTTATAGGAAGGTATATTTGATGCATGAAGTAAAGTCATTCTATCGGAATGACACGATTACACAAGCTGAAACCAAGGTCATTTTTAGAATTTTAAAATTGGGAATCTTGGTGAAATTATAAATAGATTAGATAGAGAGTTCCAGATATAAGATGTTTAACTGCGTTAGGACGTATATTTCTTAGGAATTTTACTAATAGTTTCCTGGTTTTTCACAGACGCTGGGATGAAGACATGCTATCTGTAGCCTGTGAGTCTCTCAAGCAGGAGCTAGTTGTCACCTGGGTTGACAACCAGGTTGGTGCCTTGCTGGAGTACAAGCAGAGACTCATCACAGGCCTATTCTTCAAGTTCTACATGAAAGTTTGTGGTGAAGTGCAGGCATCAGTGGTGAGCATTCATCTTATCTGACACACAGGTGCCCTAGCTGTCATATGATCGATGTATCGAAACTGACCATCTTATATGTTACAGATTCCAACTTAAGTTGCTATATAATCGTGTCGTAGCTTTAACTTATGAATATTAAACATGGTGATGTCATCGAACAGCTATAGCGTCCATTACAAGCATTATTGCTGATTGGTTCCTGGAATAGAACACAGGATAATTAATACGTACATCATGTATTACATTAATGTTTTATTAATTATATGCAATAATTTTACTATTAAATTCTCTCTATTTACTGACAGTTACAATCACCAATCAAGAGTGACCTGTCTACGTGGGAAATAGAGAGAGGCTTACCAAAAAGCTCACAAGTGTATGAGGTGTGTACAAGAATAGCTTAATTAATATGGAAGGCTTCATTGATGAATGTTTATGAACAATTTAGGAATAATGAAGCACTTGCATTGTTCAGCATTTGCTTTCTTTATTATCATACAGATTGTAGACAGCAACCAGCCTGCTGATGATCCTATAGGTAGACCCTTAATTGGTTCATGTGTCAGCACTAGAGCAAGCAACAGGAGAGGCACTCTTCTGTGATGATCTTCCCCCTCTAAGAGGTACAAATTCGTATTATGCATTAGCCTCTTAGATTTATTCCTTGTGAAGGGTTTCACATAAATTGTTGAGGGTGTTTTGAATTTGTAGCGGCAACATAAGGAAATATTTATTAGAGCAAAATTGGTGCTTGCTAATCCTAAATTCGTAGTTGTGTGCAAATGTCATACTGTGACAAATGCCAGGTTGCCAGAGGCATATATCTATAACTATATTGTCACGAGATACACATCTGCAGAACTGGAAAAACTATTCACGCTTGTGTTACGGCCTATAGTGTAGGTTTTCAGTATTGGTTTAACTTGGTCATTCTCTATTCCAGGAGAACTATTTGCGGGGCTGGTAACCAGCACTAGAGCCCATGCAAGGATTGTGTCTGTGGACCCTCAAACTGCCCTTGCCACCTCTGGTGTGGTGTGTTATTTCGATCACCATGATATCCCCGGTAAAAAGTATTTTGGACCAATCACTGAGGATGAACCAATCTTCGCTATTGACGAGGTATTTATTTGTATAATAGCTTTGCAACAATGTATTCTTTACCGTCAATTGTTTATTGACTTGCAATCTATGTCATCTTTAGTATGCCATATATATTCACTCATCTGCTAAATTTTAGGTGGAAAGTCACGGGCATATTATTGGCTGTGTTGTGGCTAAGAATCGAGAGTTGGCACGAAAGGCAGCAGCAAGTGTCGTGGTGCAATATGAAGACCTTCCTGCCGTTCTTACTATTGAGGTAAGAGAAGCAACTAGAACTTGAGAAGACATGTTCAGTAAGTGCTTCAATAAAACAACCTATCACATTCAGGATTTCATCAGTAATAATTGCACATGTCTACGAGGAAGAAAAGCCATGTGTAATCGCAGCGAGAGATGCTAACCCTAGACAACTTGACAAATTCTTCCTAATGCCAACATTAAAAATTTGATTGACTATTGTATAGGGTTGTCACTGTTAGAAGGGAATTCAATGTTGATTTTATTAACATATAGCGAATAGCAGTGTCGTCTGAATACATGATAGAATTTGACATTTCATGGATCACTCATCCTTGCCTTCTTTCTTAATTTGTCAATTGCCTTCTTTCTAATGGTAGCTTATAGCAGCGCAGATATCATGCTCTTACAGGATGCAATTGCAAGCGAATCTTTCTACCTTACCATGAATAAAATCATAAAGCGTGGCGACATCAATGCTGGGTTTAAAGCCGCAGATGTCGTGTTGGAGGGAACATTCAAGATGGGTGGGCAGCAGCATTTTTACCTGGAGCCTCAATCTTGTGTATGTGTCCCGGGAGAGAAACAGGAAATGAATGTGTACGTGTCATCTCAGTCTAACAAACTAATACAGGTAAGGTGATGTTGATTTCTATTTTGTCTTCATTTGCTCTTTGGATTTGTTTCTTGTTCATCTCTAATTCTATGTGAGACAGTTTATTCAAGTTGAAGTAGCATCTGTCTACAAATTAAATACAAATCCATGAGTAATACAAGTAATACTTGAGTAAGATCGTGAGTGCATTACTGTAAAGTCCAACTTCAGACAAAGTGACAATAAGTGAAGTAAACAATAACAATATTTTTAAGTACTGAAATTGTTGTTTAGTAGCAGATAATTTTTATTCAGATAGTGTAAAATTTAGTGTCATATGATATCTATGGCCATGTGAAATTATTTTGGTTTCAGGATTGGATAGCTACTACATTGGCAATTCCTTCTAACAGGATCATTTGTCGCCAGAAGCGTGTTGGTTAGTAGCACACTAAATACATACATCAAGTTGTTCTAGTTGACCCGACCATCTTGTCAGATGCATATAAAGATTAGATTCGCATAGAATGCTTTGTCTGCTTCATTTTACAGGCGGTGCTTTCGGTGGGAAAGAAATTCAATGTGCATATGCTGCCATTCCTGCTGCTTTAGCTGCTTATAAGTATGACCATTTATAAGTTATGCTAACAGGCCAGTGTACCAGCTAAAATGATCAACGTGATAGAGTTTGCATATGATGCTACCATTGATATATACTTGTAAAGTATATTTTATTTGCTCATGATTAGTTTACAGAGTGTAGATATTATTGTTGTATTTGTTACAGGACTGGAAAGCCAGTCAGACTTATTCACACCAGGGAGGAAGATCTTAGCATAACTGGTGGAAGACACCCATTGTTGGCCAACTACAAGGTTTGTAAATAAACAGGGAGAGGCAGACAAATGTATCGACGGAAAGTTTCAAGGAAAGTCTGAGAGTATTTATGAGGGAGATAATAATATCATGCACATTTAGATCTCCATGCGCTTATACACCGTTGTGCACAAATATCTATGTTCTGAACATTCGATTAAAGGTGGGCTGTGATGCAGATGGAAAGATTCTGTCCTTGAAGTGCAAAATCTACTTGAATGCTGGACATGCAAAAGAACTATCAGTAGCTGTAAGCATTTATTACTAACCTAATTACCAGAGGAAATGGAGAGAGAGAGAGACAGAGAGAGAGAGAGAGAGAGAGAGAGAGAGAGAGAGAGAAAGAGAGAAAGAGAGAGAGAGAAGCAGAGGGAGAGCAAGAGAAAGAGAAAGAGAGTGTGCGTACTACAGAAATGATAGATTGCATTTCACAAAATCTTTAGTAATTAAGTTACTAATCCTACTCTCTCTAATAATACTTTTCCTTTGTTTTTCACACAGGTACTATGTAATGCATTTTTTGCAACTGATGGTTGCTTTAGGCTTCCAAACCTTCACCTTGAGGGTATTTGCTGTAAGACAAACCTACCATCAAACACAGCATTTAGGGGATTTGGACAACCTCAGGGCCAAATGTTGATCAACTGGATAGTGAGTGCGATAGCTGAGAGATTGCAGCTTCCATACCTACAGGTGAGTTTTTATCAGTTATATTTACTGTTCTGTTCTGTAACCAACTGCCATGCAAGGAAGTTTTATATTTCTTCTATTTTCATTCTGTTCTGGCAAATTCCTTTTTACTCTTAAGCTGATTTATCTTATCTGATATTTGCTCAGATGCAGCTAGCAGATGACCCTAACATCTGGGTTATGCAATCAGGTGTAACAATGTGTGTGCGTGTTTATAACACAGGTAGTTCAGAGCAACCTTTACCGCGAAGGTGACATCTCTGCGTTCAACAGTCTGATTGAGAGTGATGGACTGCATCGGTGTGTCGAGGAGTGCAGGCAGATGAGTTCTTATGAGGAGCGTTTAGCTGCTGTCCATGAATTCAACAGGTACTTGTCTTGTTGTATATATATATAATGCATGCGTATATAATTACAAATTTTCTTAAAACATCTCTATTCATATATATACTATCACACTATTTCTTACCTTTCGTCACCTGGTGGTAGCAACCCTTGCATGAAATCCACACCAAGAGATTATTTGTTTGATAAGTCATTTATTTACCCCTTATATTTATATGTATCTATATATCAGGACTAAAAAATCTCAATTAATCAGATTATTTACACCTGATATATATCACTTAAACTTGATGTGTAGAAGAGGGTCAACCGAAGGAAACACCAAAAATATCCTTATTATAAATTGGCGGCTGTTGTACGTTGTTCTAGAGGTGTAGAGGTGGCTTCCCGATATATAGCTACTCTGGAGAAACATCAAGAGTGTCATTCATGAACAGGTGTTGGTTCTATATAATGGTAGCTTCACTGTATAACTGCCACTCAAGTGATGAATGCCAAAAGTGTACTTTGTAGAAGATAGGTGCCCATTTTCTAGGGCTGACTGTTAACATAGGTTTGACTGCATATTATTTTGTTTCTGCAGGGAGCACCACACAAGAAAGCAAGGCATTGCGTTGCAGCCTTGCATATTTGGATTACCTTTCTTCGTCAAGGTTTTGAACCAAGTAAGCGATGTAAAACGTACAATGCTTTAGAATGGCTAGATTAATAGCGATCGCCTTTGGGGTGACATTGAGTTTGAAGGTGAAGGAGATGGATGTAAGGCCACCATTTTTTATTTTGTTGGTTTACAGAATTTTTGTTGTTGTTGTTGACTCGGTAGGGTAAAAAAAAAATCGTCAGATCAAACAAGTCAAAATACAGTGATACTGTTATACATGGTATATTAAAGTATTTTAAGAAAACTAAATGAAAACAAAACTTAACTTGTAATTATTAGCTCATCTGACATAGTCAGATGCAGCTTGTAGAATCGCATGATCGTCCGTGCGTCCGTGCGTCCGTCCGTGCGTCCGTCCGTCCGTCAACAGTTGGGCACAAATCTTAACCGCTCGACGTACGGTCA